TATATATATATATAAGCTATATTTTTTTTTGTTTCTATAATACTTTACTTTTATTGCAGTTTTAGATTTAAAGGTGACTGAAAAAACATGACACAAATTTCATTTGTAGGTGAACTGTCTCTTTAAAACACTGGTCAACCATCACTTTACAGTGTGAAAAAAAGAATGAAATGGAAAAAGATGCTGTACAAGACTGTCATCTTGTGGTAGACCAGACACAACCAATCACACAATGCACCAGATGGCTCTGCTGTTTCACAACTGTATAAATTGGTCTTCAACCTGGATTCCATCAAACTCTTAATAATCTATGAAAAACACTTTTAAATAGAAGTGATGATTGCCGAAGGGACGTCTCCCAACCAAAACAGCTGAAAATTAAGAACAATGGTCATCTTAGGTTGAATGAGTAATGCCATCTGGAGCCGGAGAGAGATGAGGGATGATGGGAAATCACTAAAGACTGATTAATAGAATGATAGAATGATTCAACACGCCTGCACGGCAAATAAATCAGCCCAGATGCCTGCCAAACTGACTGGTCAGCGTGATATTCATATTGTGTGTGTACTTCTTCCTGTTACGATACTTTCTCTTATCCCAGATTAATGTGCAAAAACACTGTAAGCAATTTTCCCGAAAAGTGTAAACATTGTGGTGCTTAAAAAACATTACTCATAAACATCCCAAACAACCCAACCCAAACTGTAAGCGTTAACATGTAACTTGTTTGTTCTGTGGATATCAATGATAAGAATGATAAGTCCCTTATGTTCAGCAAGGCTGCATTTATTTGCTCAAAATACAGTGAAATATTACCATTTAAAATGCTAGTTTTCTATTTGAATATATTTTGTAATTTATTTGTAATGTATTCTTCTTTTTCTTAAAACATAATTTGTTCTTGTGATGGCAAATCTGAATTTTCAGCATCATTACTCCAGTCTTCAGTGTCACATGATCCTTCAGAAATCATTCTAATATGCTGATTTGATGTGATCCCATGATACATATTTTCAGGATTCTTTGATGAATAGAAAGTTTAGAAGAAAAGAGATGAATTAGAAATCTTTTGTTATATTATAAATCAATTTAAAGCATCCTTGCAGAATAAAAGTATTAATTTCTTTCAAAAACAGTAATGTACCTTCAAATTGTTTGAAGAGACATGTACTATTACTTCTCTAAGTGATCAGATTTTTACCTGGTGGACAAAAAAACACTTTATATTTATATTTGCCTTAATAATTGTTGCAAAATGCCTCATGCTGTCACCATTTGTCCGCTCAGGTAAGCCAAAAGGTCAGCGGCGGGGAGAGAAGAAAAAACGCTTCAACCTGCAGGAGAAAGAGAACGCCGAGGCCCGTCGAGAGAGGAAGAGAGAGCGAGAGAAGGAGACGATCAACCTAGAGGATTCAGAAAGCCGGAACAAAACAGAGCACCGTCGCCGGAGGGACCAGAGCAGAGACGCTGGAACAGTATAGAGAGATGCTGCTCCTCACTGCTCCTCTGCCTTTCTTTCCCCTATCAGTCCATGTCACCCCCTCACCCTCTTAACCCCTCGCCGAGGGGGTGTTGCTGCTACCTGTATAATTTAAACATATACTGTATATGCACATGAGAGAGGGGGCGCTCGTCATCCACACCATAGCAGACATTGAGGATGCCCCGTAAACTTCAGAGGGCACCCTTTGCGCCTGGTGCTGGATTGAGGCTGAACTGTGTAACGTGGGGCCGGGCATGTTCGATGATCCGTGGAATGGTTTTTTTTTTTAAAGGGGGTCCAGGTACAGCGCTGTATCATGGTTTGAATGTAGGTTTTTGAGACATTAAAGTAGACTTGTTGTATAAACATCTGTTTTTTTTTGTTTTTTTTTGTTTTTTGGGCTGAGTAAATTAAAAATGAGCATGCTTACTGCCACCGCGGACATTGCCTGCCGCCAGAGGCTGAGAGACTGCATGTTGATTGGTGTAAATGGCTTTCTTCATACTGGATAAGCAACAACACTCTCGCTGCAACGTTTTAGTAACTTTTGTTCAGTTTTCTCCGAACAAAGTGTTGATTTGTCTGTCTGTATAAACAGGATCCGAGCTTTCCATTGAAGCCAGCTGACCAGAAATCAAAAGCACCTGTATGTCAAATAAACAATACTGAGTTTGTATTCGTTTGTAATTTATTGCCTCAACCAGCATAAATATACAACAAACACTACAGTAGCCTTAAATGTTTGGTGATACATATAATAACTGTTTCAAGATACGAATCTGTCTTATTTTCCATAATTTGTCATTTATCCATATTTAAGGACAGTAACATCTGCACTTCAATTTCTCTGTGAATAATAGTATTAATACACAATTAAAAAGATAGTTTGGAATAATTATTTTTTACCTTTTTCAAAGTCTCTTATTGATGAAAATACAGTAAAATAGCTAATATTGTAAAACATTAATACAATTTAAAAGAACTTTTCTATTTAAATGTATTTTGAAATGTAACGGTTCCCACAAAATGATCTGTTTTCAAAACACTGTATAATGTTTCTTTAGCACCAAATCAACATATTAGAATGATTTCTGAAGGATGTGATACTGAAGAGTATTGACTGCTGAAAATTCAGCTTTGCCATCACAGGAATAAATTATATTCTAAAACATATTCACACATGAAACAGTTATTTGATATTATAATAACACTTCACCAATATTTACTGTATTTTTGGTCAAATAAATGCAGCCTTGGTGAACACGTATAAATACCAAAATTATGATTCATGTTTATACAGCACTTTTCTAGGATGCTGCGAAATTACCTCAACAATAGGCCTTTAAGAATCAAATTTAAGGATAAATGAGTTTTGTAGGAGTTTCAGTTGTATAAATACATAAATTCACAAAAGAAACAAATGTAATAATAGGAGAAATTGATTGTTTTTAACCATTTTGTGTTATAAATGCCTGCTCTGATTTAAAGTTTCCTTCCCTTGTTTTGTTTAGAAGGTTAAAATCATATTATAATACGTTTGAAATGTTACCACAAGATACCACGTTTTGAAATGTCTCCACAAGAATCTGTCCCTGTTTGTAATTTATTGCCTCAACCAGCATAAATATACAACAAACACAACAGTAGCCTTAAATGTAACTGTTTCATAATACGAATCTGTCATATTTTCTCTGTAATTTCTCCTGTGAATAACAGTATTAATGCACAATTAAAAAGATAGTTTGGAATAATTATTTTTTACCTTTTTCAAAGAAGTCTTAGATAAAATACAGTAAAACAGCTAATATTGTAAATTCTAAATACAATTTAAAATAACTTTTCTATTCCCACAAAATTATTAGGAGTATATATATATATATATATATATATATATATATATATATATATATACACATACACACACACATATACATGTG